GGTAAAAAACAGAATTTTTTCAATAATTTTTTGTAAAATATTTTATTTTTTTCCTAGTTTTATTTGTGTTTTTGTCTTGCCAAAGCGCTAGCTTTGTTTCTATAAAAACACCGTTAAAGTTGTTACGCCTCACTGCATTTGAGTTGCTGGCCAAGTCAGACCCCAATTTCGCTTTATAATATTTTTTACTTCTKCAACGCGCTTATGCAAAACCGCCATCGATTAGCGTGAAAATGTAACGAAACGAAAGCCGCCCGGATATCGCCAGACAAACACGCACCAACACACGCCAGTATCTGTAGGCGCATATGAGGCAGACAGCCGAAAAGTATGCAAGGCTTGAAAATTTCACTGAATTACACTACTTGCTGCTTTTCACCGTTAATTTTCCGCAATGCACATAGCAACTTTTGCACTTTGGCCGTTCAATTCATCATGTGAGCACTTTAACTTGGCACAACGCCTAAAAGTAGGCACTCGTTTTAATCAATACACAGCTACACCAACGCAGGCGTGTTTTCTGCATAATTTTGCAASAAATAAACGCCGTGAAAACGCCTTTTTCAATAAACAAACAAAAACTAACCGCACAGCACTGCACTTGGAGAGGTATATTTCGGAAGAAAATTATAATTAAAAACTACACAAGATTTTGAAAAGTATACCTCAATAAAAAAAATAAAGCCAGTATCGGTGTATCGCAATTTGCCCCAAAGCGCTCACGAAACGTCCATTTTCAGCTGAAACCCGTGCGCGAATGTGCGCCGAGACGATGGCACACGGAGTGCCTAAGAGTGTTTTTCGGCGCATAGCGGAGAAGTGCCAAAAACAACAATGATGATGAGGATGAAAACAACAAAGCTACAGGCAACAGCAGCAACTTCGCGAGCGCCCAAGCAATGCGCARCGCCAAGTGCTTTCGCTTGCGAGAGCAGCGCTCAGCACACAAACGTTTTGCATATGTATATTGKACATGCGTGTATGTGTGTGTGCGTTTGTGGGTATATGCGCACTTGTAAGGACATCAATGACAGCAAAAACAAGCAATAATAGAGCAGCTAGCAAAAGAACATTGAATTATTCAATGTCAGTCAGTCAGAGCCAAGTAGCAAAGCCATCAACAACAGCCAAACACASACACACACTTTGCCTCGTAACACAACCACAAGTCCAGKCGCGTTGGTGGCAAAGCTGCTGCAATTCAAATAAAACACTCGTCATAAAGCACATGCCGTCTGCCATTCACGCAGCAAACGCGCATTGTGTGTGCGCTGTTCTGGCGCAGAGCACAGCATTTGTGTGTGCATCTTTTAGGCGCTCTCCGCAGTTTTAGCCAAAGATATGTGTAATTACATGAAGACACACACATATACATGTATGTACGAGTGTGTGTGTGTACTTGTTTTTGCGTTTGCTTTAGCTGCCCACAAAGCCACAAGCTCGCCTGGGCGTTTTGTATAGTTGATTGGAGGCGACGGCGCCTAAACAACCGCTGGGCGAGCGCCAGCTACGCTGTGGGGAGCGTTCAAAGGTGAAGTGTATGCTGACGCTTACCGTTATGTCTACACACACACACACACACTAGCAAGAAGCTGTATTATGCAAAATAAAAACTGAAAAATAACAAAAAACAACAAAACTTAGCATATCAGCGGGCGCAGTGGGCACAACAACAATAGCAAACACAAATGAAGTACAGCAGTATGCGGCGCGTCTGTAGCGAATGGGCGAAAAAACATCAACTGCAGCGCAAAAAACGTTCACAACAACAACAAATACAATGCGACCCAGCGACAGCAGGCGAGAGCGCAACGACAGGGTGCACACAAAGCKCTTTGAAAGCACGGCGAGAGTCGATAGTGGAAACTCCTTTTTATGGCTGCGAACACAAACATACAAATTTTGCGWGTWTGTGCGCTTACAACTGCCCGTATGTGTGCGTTTCCATGGTTGTGCGTGCGCTGCATTGGCAGCCAGCCAATATAAGTTCAGTGTGGCACCTAAAAACCRAAAATATGCAATGCAGACGCATAGTTGCAAAGCGTGACACACTTACCAGATGTTAGGGGACGTCCTCATTGCTGACCGCTTAATGTCATTAATTAATTAATTTCTTAATTAAGGTAGGTTGGAGATTTTTGAAAACCTACGGAGGSTTTCTCTTTAAATTTCAAATAAGTTTTCGCAAATAAGGCAGAAACAACAYAAACAGGTGGCTGCGATGGCGTCTAACGGTTACATAAATGACTTTTCCCTATAAAAATATCGAAAGTACTTCTAGAAGTTTTCAAGCAATTTTGTAATTTTTTTGGAATCATGCTTGAACAACTTTTTCAAACAAATGTCAAAAAMGTTTCATAAAACAGACGTCGATGGGTTAAAAATTAAAAAACAACAACAGATATACAAAAACAAGCAAAAATGTTAACTTTATATATTGAAGCTTAATACCCTTCACTTCTGCATTTCTGCATTTCTTATAGCATAATTCATTATAGCGTATAAAATGATAGTTTTCTGGATTAACCTGTATATCGGTTACTTTGTATGGCAGCTATAAGCTATAGTGGCCCGATTTGAAAAATTTCTGCGGAGATTATAGCGTTGCCTTGGRCAATAATGTATGCCAAATTTTGTGAAGATATTTCGTTAAATAAAACGATTTCCTAACAAAAACTTAATTTGAATCGGTTAATTTGTATGGCAAMTATATGCTATAGTGCTCCGATCTGAATAATTTCTTATGGGATTATAGTGCTGCTTTGGACAAAACTCCATGTCGAGTTTCGTGAAGATATCTCGTCAAGTAAAAAAGTTTTACATACAAAAACTTGTTTACTTTGTACAATTTGATATGGATCGGTTACTTTGTATGACAGCTATATGCTATAGTGGCACGATCTAAACAATTTCTTYGAAGATTRTAGYGAATTCTCGGACAAAAATTCTTGCCAAATTTCGCAAAGATAGCTCGTCAAATAAAAAAGTTTTCCATACACGAACTTGATTCCGATTGTTCATTTTGTATGGTAGCTATATGCTATAGTAATCCGATCTGAACAATTTCTTCAGAAATTACATTGTTGCCTCAAAAAATAATATATACCAAATTTCATGAATATATCTTGTCAAATGTGAAAGTTTTCCATACACGAACTTGATTCCGATTGTTCATTTTGTATGACAGYTATATGCTATAGTGGTCCGTTAACGGCGATTTCAACAAATAAGTAGTTCCTCGTGAAAAAAGGAAGTATGCAAAATTTCAGCTCAACACCTCAAAAACTGAGGAACTAGTAAGTGTATATAGGGAAGGATGGTCTGAGAGACGAACAATGACCTAATCTAAACTCGAGTTTAGATCGCATAAGTTTCAAAAAATATATTTCAATCACGGTTCTTTAACATCTCTAAARAAAAATTATCTTCAAAATCCCTTCAACCAAATCCTCAAGCATAATGGCAACACTCGCGTCTTCCCATGGAGCTTTCACAAAAGCTAAACACACAAACATACAGCCGCCTTTTATGCGGAATAGGGGATAATACGTATAAAACCTGGTCAGCTGAGAGCCACGGATTTTTTATAGACGAAGTATGTATAGAACGGATTATGCGTAGGAAGGAAACACGAAGGAATTGCGCCACTTGTCGGCTTGTTTTTGTTTTACTGGCAACACGAAGGGTGTCCAACTCGGACGAGACATGCGTGCATGGCAACAAAAATAGAGCGCGCTCACGCTRCAACTCACACTGGCCGCTCTCGCGCACTCTCACGCTCTTCGCGCATTCGGCTGACTTCAATTTTCACTCGCACACCTGGTCGCTGCTGATAATATAACGGTATATAATGGAAAAACACGTATAATCGCCACTTTGGCGTGGATTTGTGAGAAATCGAAATACATCTAATAGGTATTATCGACCAGCTACAAGCAGGCTCTTCTATATACATACATACATATGTGAATGCGAAGAAGTAGAGCAAAACAGGGTGGGGAGTTGTCGAGTTTCGAATGCGCAAAGCGCCACCATTTGCTGCATGCAACTGCACCCAACTTACTTTATGCCATGGCATACCGTTACYGCAGTGAGRGCGCACCCAACGCAAACCCTCCTAAAAAGTACGTAAGGCAGTGACRAAATTCGAGTTTCGCTTTTTGTTTTTGTTTTTTCTTTCGCTTSGGAAAAACTTTAGTGTCATTGCAAGTTTAAAAGTGCCTGTCCCTGCCATCACRCCCTACCCGCGCGTTGGGAACACCAGCTCCCCTTGTGTGGCCATTAATAATGCAATGGCATGACACGATGCGCATACGATTTCGTTGAGGCAGGCAAGCAACGGCAGCGCTCTGCTGCGGCAGTGACAGGATAATCGGGAGACAAGTGGATGAGATATGCTGAACTATAGAAATTGAAACAATTGAGGTTAGTAACAGCAAATTCAACAGCAGCAGCGACGGAGTCGGCAGCAACGGGGGACGAAAAGAGGACTAATGCGACAGTTAAACAAACAAACATGCACACACACACACACACAAAGGCAACATATTTGCACAAAGTGCATGGCACGGAAATGGGTATATGGTTTAATGCAGCGTTAAATTTAATCGTATCCCACTTAACTATTGAGTGGAAATAATACAATCAACTGGGGATCCAGTGAGTTTGCTGGATTTAAAAGTAGACAAGATTAATTGGAAAGTTTTGAAGTTGAGCTGAGTAGAGAGTTGCATCGCAAAAAAGAAGCTATAATACCCTATACAAGTGAATTTCTTATAGCATAAAAGTATATAAAATGGTCTGCATTTTGATTTTGATCGTACAGTTTGTATGGCCGCYATATGCTATAGTAGTCCGATCTGCACCATTTCCTCGGAGATTGTAGCATTGTATCAGRCARTAAACCGTGTMAAATTTCTTGAAGATACATSAACAAATAAAAAACTTTTCCATACAAGGACTTCACCCTGGACGAYCAGTTTGTATGGCAGCTATATGCTATAGTGATCTGATCTGAACAATTTYTTCAGAGTTTGTATTACTGCCTTARATAATGMCCCATGCGAAATTTCGTGAAGATACCTCGTAAAATGAAAAGATTTTCCATGCAAGAACTTTATTTTRATWWMTCAGTTTGTATGGCAGCTATATGATATAGTGATCCGATCTGAATAATTTCGTTGGAGACTGTAGCGTTGTTTTAGAAAATWATGCATGCCAAATTTTGTGMAGATAGCTCGTCAAATAAAAAAGTTTTCCATACAAGAACTTGACACCGTTCCCACAACAGACGAGTCCACATAACCGGAACGGAATCGCGTTTTTCTACAAGGACTTACAAATCGGTGGCAATGCTAAACCTTACTTTTATGCCGTCACAATCACAACAACCACCACCGTCGTGAACCTTGTCCGACCTTACTGTCAATAAGCGCACCCGCCATTCTAGGTCTCAGGTTCTTGTTGAAGATGTCAAACTCTCATATCCATTATTAAGACACTTTCCGAGGAATCTTCTTAAGCATTAAAGAGTAGCCGAAAGCAATCCATGAACCTGTGCTACTTTACCTAATTTTTTACGACCCAAAGACAAATAAAATCGAGATTTTTGAAAATATTTTTTTTTTCTTGAAAAACTTTTAGTATGATTTGGCAATATGAATCCTTTATAAGGCCTATCCTGTATACAGATGACAAGTGTCACACCGGCATTATGGTTGCGACGACTGACAGAACTCAGAATTGACGTATG